CCATCACAGGGGTGGGGAAAACCATAATTTCCTACTTTAACAAAGTAAAAGTTAAGATATATTGCTTTGATCCTCTATTTTCCCACAAGCACACATAAACATAGATTTCTTTGAAACGACATTTCCACTTCATTTAACTGAAATATAAAATAGTGGTACAGAATCTATTTAAACTTCATATTTATTAAAACTGGACCATCTGGGGCCACACATTGTGGATAATTGTAGAACTGAATCGGGCCCCACGAAACATCAAAGAGGACCGCATATGGGTTGCAGGCCACAAGTATGACAAACCTGCTGTAGACTAAAGTCAACATAATCATGTTCTGCGATATTTCTATGAAACAACATGGAAAACTTCAAGTTCCTCAAAACAAAGACAAAATCTCTTACATCACTCCTAGTCTCACTGGCACAATTTTCTGTTCCAAATTTATCAACTCATTTAATTAAGTATTATCTTACAGTCCAATTTTCGATTTAGATGGTAACGAATCTATCATTACAAACAGGGAGATATTAAGAGAATATTAAGAAGTGTACATGGGCCACAGAAACACACTGGCAAGCTGTTGAGAATCGTTGGTTTAAAGCAAAGTCATAGCCCATGACTTCAAAATTGGTCATAATCCTTTTCAGCTTCTCATAAAGAGGTCTGCTCCATGAAGTTAATTCCACCAGAGGATCAACAGTGCATCCCCCTAAAGTTAGTACTGCGTCACACAGATGTCTAAACCGCTCTGCAACCCCTGTGTATATACATCAGGTGGTATTTGTAAACGTAATGAAAGACTGGGATGTGAGGTTATGTTTGATCAGCTGAGAGAACTTCAAAAAGTATAAAATATGATACAGCACCAACTGACAAACTAATAAGAGAAAATTGTGCAGATATTTTCTCTGCACCTCTAAACCTAGTGTTTTATCTACACGTGCACAAAATAGAGTTTGGAACCTGACAAAATAATTTCAGTATTTGCTATGGTGAACTGAGCGAGTAGGATCCATGAACATTCATTCTCTCGTCACTGAGTACAGAATTCAACTGATAATTACTCATTAAGCCAATATTATTACATCACATGTGGATCATGTGTTTCTGCATGGAACATTTTGACCTTTTGTACCCTAATTAATAGTCTACAATTACATATTAATTTTTTCTCCTACACAAGGCATTGCTTCTTATCATTAGTATTTGAACAGTGAGTTTAAATTTAAATTGAATTAAAGAAATATAATTTTGTTTATATAAATGTGGTTCTTATTCCTAAATTATACATGATCCGTACATGCCACTGTAACATTTCAAGGGCAAATTCATTCCTTAAAGAAGCCCACAACTAATGAATGAGTACTCATCTTATTTTTGGTTTGCATTTACTGAAACTTCCTGCCAGAATTATAACACAGGTACGCCACCTTCTAGTGACCGCCTAAACACACAGACACCATCACCGTTTCCACATAGAATTCTGAAGAGAAATAAAGGCGCAGAATGTATCTACTGAGGAAACTGAAAAGTGACCATCTGTACGACTGTGAAGCAATTGATTGTCTAACACGCTATATTCTTAAACATAAATAAACCAATACATCCAATCATAAAAAAACAGACAGGGTTGCCACCTGTGCATGGCAATCTAACTTCCTTTCACTTATGACGAATTCCCCAAAGCAGGGAAACAAAAATATGTCCTATCAGCAGATTGACAGTACACGGTGTGTGACGAAATAAACATTTTAATTAATATACGAGTGAAAATGTGCCCTCTTATCTGTTTTCTAATTCTATCGTGAGACAATATATTAATTCTGTCTGGCTTCAATGAAATTCAGTTAGTGGCAACCCTGAGCAGGTAATACGGCAATAACTGGTACACCTGTCCTCAGGATCTAAAAGTTCTTGACGATGGTGATGAGACATTTGAATAAAAATTTTCTTGGATATTATTCATCGTCTAGTAGATAAAATATAACATTATATTTTATCTACTAGACGATGGATAATATTCAAGAAATTTTTTATTCAAATGACTGTCCTCAGAAACTTACAAATTAAATCATACTGCAATATTTTGAGATAATAACCACTTTTTGACCCACATAATCACAAATCTGGCTGATAAACACAGCTTTGTGGGGAGGTGCAATGGTATTAAAAGAAGTTCAGAATTAAATTTCAAAGTACACAGAGATACTAAACGCTAATCACGGCATGCATTACTTCTTCCTGACATCATTTACTTAACAATGCTCCAAATTCTGACAAGATGTGAGTTTGAAACTAAATTTGGTTGCAAGTGAAGAGGTAACTGATTAACATTAAGATTTCTAAATGACACTCGCCATCTGCTACATTTTAATATGTTCAACACTGCAATTAGAAAAACAAATGTGTTCTCTTTAACCTTGCATATATATTTTTATTATAATAAAATTCAAGGTGTCTGTAGTAGTTAATATTTACAACTAAGTTGGGTGTCAGAATTTGAATTCAATATGGCAGCTGTGATGAAAGTCATATAAAAACTGGATAAATTTCCAAGATACCCACACAGAATGTACACACTATAATAAAATTAGTTAGATGTCTAATAGTTTGTTTGCTAATATACTAACAGGATGATGCAATTTGTAGAAAGTCTTTAAAATGTCTTCCCAATACCATATATTCCGATCTGATTCATTTATAAAATTCTACTGCTTGAAAATAATTTCTCCTCAATTCATCCCATCTTATTCTAGAGAATTCCACAGAATCACATTTCTTTGAAAATCACACTCAATGAGAAATCACAATAAGTACATTACATCGACATTTATACTTCCAATATATAATTATAACTGAAACATATTTTTATTTCAAACAACCTTCAGTTGTTTAAAAAATTTCACGAACCTTTCTTCTGTCAGTATTTAAAACACCCCAGATTTCTGTATACATTTTCTGCCCACTAACCATGAAAGTACCTGCATTCTCTAATCTTCCACAAAAATATTTACTGATCTTCTTCAATTCAACTGCTTAAAAATCACAAAAAAATGCACCAGCCTTTTAGCAAATAACTTTCATGATGGGCTTTTAGTTATAATCTTACATTATGCAGGCAGTTTTCAAAAACTTGTTTTAAAACATAAGACATTTTCCAAATATATGGCAATTATAAAATCATGAACGCAACGTATGGGCTGTGGTCTTTTGTATTGACATCATGTAGACTTGAGGACTGTTATCTTCAATCAGAAATAGCGCATTGCTCATCCTGCAAATATGGGATACTGTGCCCTGTATTCTGATAAAAAATGACTGACGTTTTAGAGGTTATGGCTGGTCCTGTCACAGGTTCCTCCGGAAACTGTATAACGACTTACATGAATACATAATATCACAACCAAAATGACCACAATCAAATTATCATCACAAGAACCTCAAATCTCAGAAACAGCCTGACAGGATTCAGGAACTTGCAGCAAGGTGAATTGTGGAAATTCAATGCGACCTTAAGTACCAAACAAATGACAGTCACCCATTTCAGTCCCTTTCATCATGTTTCAATTTTGGTACCTCATGTGATGTAAATGTTTTCTGTAGTAGTTCTTACATTTATACATCAAATTTTCATTTACTTCTTTAATACTTCACAGGATTTTAAAACTTCGGATGTGAGGCGAGACAATATTCTACCAGGCTTAAAAATAGAACAGAAACTAACATATTTTAGCCCCAATTTAAATTCGACACCAGATATTTGGTATTTACGGAACAACAATTATTTCTGCTTGCATGAATGCCAACTTCCCCAAAATACAGCTTTACATGCTGCTAAAAAAACATATATTATATATAAAAGATTGGATGAACAGCATTTTGTGCGTCAATGACACTTGCTTGGTTTCAAAATCACGCCTGTGTCAATGATCGTTTGCTGACCCACCATGTCCTGAAGCACAAGATAATAGATGTTATAAATAAAGCAACACTTCAATGTCTATACGAAGACTTCGTTACTCCCTTATTCAATATAACCACAAACACATTCAATATATTAAGAGTGATTTCGCCTCATTCGAACGTTTCATATTTCGTTGCTAGAAAAATTACAGTTACATCAAATGCCGGCATCCAAACGAGATGGCTAGATTTTTAGTTATCACATGGTTAACAAACTTGGGTTCTATAGGTATAAAGTTTCGTTGCTACTTTTCCGTGCTTCCAATCAATATCAACTAACAATAGCCACAAATATTTCCTCCCACTTCCTTCCCAGAAGTTTTTCAAGGACTTACCGTCGATTTTTTGCACAATTTTCGCCTACGACATGCTGATTGCCGTGATGTATAGTTTTCCAACTGCTGCTGGCTAGATTTGGTTTCCGGGATCTGAGGTTTGTACAACGAAGAAACCATCAACACATACGAAATCTGAAAATTATTTTCTTAAAATCTCCGCCAAGCAAACTAACCACGATTAGTGTTTACCTCCTAATATGTCTCCTGCAATTATCGATTCGCGACAGTCGACAGTCCTGACATTGCTCATGTTTTCATATGTAGTTCGCACACACCGCCGCCAGGTGGCACCTGTGTCGGGATCACAACACTGTATCCAGCGTCTCCAGAGACTGGAGAATCTGTTCGTCTCTGGAGCACCACTCCACTAGCTCGTCAATTGTCACCACACCATCCTTGTTTGTGTCGATTAGCTGTAATCACACACAAAACAATTAAAATCAGAAGGAAATAAAATTCTTGTTGCTGACTCCACGTGGACTTGTATCCTGGACCAATTCTTTCACACAAATTCAAGTTGGTCATCGGGAACAGGCAGGGCTGTTCACTGTCTGTTCCCGATGACGAATTTTCCATTAATTATCGCAGTTGAGGCACACAATAATCTTTTTATGCAACAAACTGTTGTAATCAAGGAAACAGCTGTGAACACAGATCGCGTTCACGCTACAATGGCGTGATTGCATTTTGTGCGTCAATGACACTTGCTTGGTTTCAAAATCACGCCTGTGTCAATGATCGTTTGCTGACCCACCATGTCCTGAAGCACAAGATAATAGATGTTATAAATAAAGCAACACTTCAATGTCTATACGAAGACTTCGTTACTCCCTTATTCAATATAACCACAAACACATTCAATATATTAAGAGTGATTTCGCCTCATTCGAACGTTTCATATTTCGTTGCTAGAAAAATTACAGTTACATCAAATGCCGGCATCCAAACGAGATGGCTAGATTTTTAGTTATCACATGGTTAACAAACTTGGGTTCTATAGGTATAAAGTTTCGTTGCTACTTTTCCGTGCTTCCAATCAATATCAACTAACAATAGCCACAAATATTTCCTCCCACTTCCTTCCCAGAAGTTTTTCAAGGACTTACCGTCGATTTTTTGCACAATTTTCGCCTACGACATGCTGATTGCCGTGATGTATAGTTTTCCAACTGCTGCTGGCTAGATTTGGTTTCCGGGATCTGAGGTTTGTACAACGAAGAAACCATCAACACATACGAAATCTGAAAATTATTTTCTTAAAATCTCCGCCAAGCAAACTAACCACGATTAGTGTTTACCTCCTAATATGTCTCCTGCAATTATCGATTCGCGACAGTCGACAGTCCTGACATTGCTCATGTTTTCATATGTAGTTCGCACACACCGCCGCCAGGTGGCACCTGTGTCGGGATCACAACACTGTATCCAGCGTCTCCAGAGACTGGAGAATCTGTTCGTCTCTGGAGCACCACTCCACTAGCTCGTCAATTGTCACCACACCATCCTTGTTTGTGTCGATTAGCTGTAATCACACACAAAACAATTAAAATCAGAAGGAAATAAAATTCTTGTTGCTGACTCCACGTGGACTTGTATCCTGGACCAATTCTTTCACACAAATTCAAGTTGGTCATCGGGAACAGGCAGGGCTGTTCACTGTCTGTTCCCGATGACGAATTTTCCATTAATTATCGCAGTTGAGGCACACAATAATCTTTTTATGCAACAAACTGTTGTAATCAAGGAAACAGCTGTGAACACAGATCGCGTTCACGCTACAATGGCGTGATTGCAGCAAAATTGACAGTGGAACCACGGTTCCGGAGAATCTGACGTAAATACGTCTCTGTATTTAAATTACATTTAAGCAATAAATACAATGAAAGGAAGGTAGCTGAATGGAATGTAATGTCAAAATTATCTAGTCTACGACGCACTTCTTCGACAAGCGATTCACAGCTCAGATCTTTCCGCAATAACGAAAGCGGATTGTTGACGGCAGTAATGTGACACAACAATGCCGATTAAACAGATGACGTTTCCTAGGTAACATAACAATGCAACAACAGATAACCATTGTTGTCGATTTGTTGATATGGATATTACACATTTTCGTTCCACTTTTTTGCCGAATGTCCCTTCCGTATAGACGTATTTACGTCAAAACTGGGAACAGTGTGAAAGTGATTTCAATAAGACGTTTCCTTGCCTGTGATGACGCAGAATTTTTGTAGCCAAATAACTCGAAAAGTAAGCAACACGGGCAAACAAAATATACATATTTGATGACGCATTAAGGGTCTTGGGGCCAGATGCGTCCAATTTTCTATTTTTCTGACATCAGATTTTGCTGACGTAACAATTATTTCGAAATTTTTAAGTGGATTACTTACAAAATCAAGATATTGGCGGGGTAACTAAGAATCCAGAACACACAGAGAAAACTCGGTATTTTAGAGACATTGATAGTTCAAATCACTTGCTGCCAACGAGTATGTTTGTCTACATAACAACTGAATGGCGTGTCATTTATTTTTCGTAATTTATTTAACGACGTTTTTCAGTAGCTCAGACTATACGGCGTCGAATGAGAGGATGATAGCGAAAAATGAATTTACGAGGATGTGAATGAGAAGTCTTGGCCTAATTCGAGGCACCATCCAGGCACTTGCCTGGAGGGAATGAGAAAAATCAGGAAAAAAAACCAGTCGCGTCATGCCACTAAGAGAGGGCGGTGCTTTGCTGTTACCAAATTCGTAGAAACAAGTGTTGAAGTTTCTACAATTCACAATAAACTGAGAGTGCCGCCTATTAGTTACCTAAATTGTCTTGTTTGTTTCTACATTAATGACGCTTAATCGACTGCACACATCGATACATCGATACTGCACCCTGCTTTATCGTTCAACGAGCTACCAAGAGATGGCACATCGTTCGGTCCATCGTAACACAAACTATGAAGTTCGTACACGAGTTCCAAGCGATTAAATTATCTTGCTTATCATTAAAAATTCGGGATATGGCATCACGACCGGTTATCTATCGCCGCTTCGATTGAAGGCTTGGAAATATCAGATACGTAGTTTAATATGTGCTAACATAGTGGCGAAAAGCGTGTGTGCATTAATGGTCTCCTTGTAACCACCGGACGGACAGGGCTCGAACTTAAGAACGGCGTGATTCAAGAAGCCTGTCCTTCACTAAACCGAAACACATGAATTAATTACTGAGCCAACTGCGAAGTTCAGCTGGAAAGTTGCCACGGCGTTGTAATGACTTTCGCGCTTAAATTATCCAAAGCAGCCGGACTAATTAATTCATTACTTAATTGTCGCACAGTCCGCTCGCACGATGCGACAAAAACATATCGGGAAGACATCGTTGCAGACGGAATATGACATTTTCGCTAATTTACTGAAGCCAAGTTGTCGATCCAATTTGTTTCAGACAGCGAGTGGATATTTAGACTCATCTAGCCTCAGTAACAATACCAAAGACGTACACCGAACGCCATTTGCAGCTCCTGAATTATTCGATCACACCTCGTTCACTGCTGGCGAATTGGTGCGACGTAAAACATTTCAGAAGGCGAAATGTTTGCGTGGGCCGAAGTTGCGAGGATCTGACACTGCGACCTACAAACTGTGGTTGTCAGGCACTGGTAGGTCCGCGAGCACTTTCGACTCTCGTAAGAAATCTCAAACTCGTAACTGGAGGGTGGCCGATTCACGTCCCCGCCTCTTACAAGGGTGTTCGCGGGTAAATACGTAAATAAGCTGCACAGTGCCATTTCTCTTTCCCCAGAGATTCATCAACTCGTCACACTCGATGTCTTCCAGTTTCTGACTTGAGTTAAAGAATAAATAAATTATGTAACAAGCAACTAATAAAAGGGAGAATTTATGCAAGATATTAATAAAGAGTGATGTTTTTCGCAGCGCCACTTCTAATTCTCGTATTGCGCTAATCCATTCAACTGTTATCGCCCGGAAGCAAGTGGCAGCCCCTTAAGAGTTCACAGCATCTGCCCGATCAGTAAAGGAGCAAACAACAGCAATGACATGTCGGCTATTTATTTGGCTATTACACTGCCGCACGCCCAATTTATGAGCCCCCGCCCAAAGGCGTGGAGAAGAAGGAACGGTAAATTTGCTATCCGGTTCAGAGGCGAATGATTAGTGCTTACGCTCGCCGCGTGGGGCGCAATATCGCGTCTCCTGCTGCGCCTCACTTTACTGCCTAATCACTCGCAACGCAGTGAGTGGAAACAGGCTTCTTAGGCAGTCAACGCAAATTCACGTCGACAACGTAGTGAAAAGATCCCGTCTTCCTGCCCGCTGAGATAACGGGAAAGATGCTAACTCCACACTGAGCGAGATGAGGAGGGTCGGCAAATCTGGAGGGAAGAGACCACACACGAGATCTAGGAGTAGATGGTACAGTGGAATAATATTAATACGGGTCTTAAAATAGACGGTGTGATCGGGCCCAGTGGCGGGCTCTTGTGAACATTGTGATGAGCCTTCGGGTCCCATGAAATACAGAGCAACCATTACCTTCTCGTGAAGGATTTATGTTTCGTATCAAACAGCTGGTCGAAACTTTTATGGACGATTCGAAGCCAGCCAATTGGACGCGCGTTCATTGGCTCCCCACGGTCGACCAACTGAGGAACTCGATTAAGTGAAATTTATGGACGTGCCGGTGTTCGCCCGGCGATATTAAAGACAACTGACTGAGTCAGCGTTCGATACCAACATGAATTCTTACAAAATTTAGCAGTGCAACAGAACACCGACAAGCGCTGTAAGCAATACCACGCAATGAACGATGATTATGATGGGGGCATTTCGAATACTGGAATCCAAAAGACAAGACAAAGCTGAAAGGACCGACTGTCAAAACGCGTGCGAACAGGATAACCTAAGCAGTTGATTAACACACGGCGAAAAATTATGGCAACACGTTTTTGAACTGCGCTGGCTGCAGATTTTCGAAACAACTTTTTGTCTGACAGACAAACCGAATAGCTGAGCGACTACGAGCTTCGATGTGCCCGCGCACCTGCACGCCCTATTTACGATGGCATCGACCCGCCACGAACACTTCGGCCGTGCAGAATCCGGTCCCACGTCATCACTGACTGAGAAGTTACTCCGAGGAAATTGCTTCGTAGCGCCACTGAACGTTTGTAACAGAAAGAAATGAAGGTCTGCAAACATCGCTCATGTTTCGCAACGGCAAATACTTTTGTTCAGCAGAACACCGACACGTAACTCGCCGATAGAAGAGAATTAAGAAATCGAAGCGTCGAGCGTAACAACTCCGAGGCGAAGGCCCTACGTCGCGGGAACAGAAAATTCACAGAGAATAAGCAGAGGTGAGATGCAGCTTCAACAAGCGGTCCCGCTGCCTAGCAACGACGCCACGGAAGGAGGCGGCACATCCCTCACTTAAATACTGCACTGTGACGTCACGGAGTGCTGGAAATGTTAGCGGTTACGACGGTACGAGAATGTGAAATTGGGCGACACGGCGCGGCTCGCGAAGCAGATGGCCTTATGGGAAATTAGGAAATCAGGAACTACAAATTGGATCAGGATTGTGACCGGAAGACGAGACTTCTACGTCGCTAGAAATGGTGTGTGGGGGAGCGGAGGCAAAGCTCCACGCAATGAACCTCCGGGCCCGAAACATTCATGCGCCTCGCTGGACTCAAGCTTCATTATCGACTGAGAATGCCGGCGTCACACAATCAATCGCGAATACGAAAAATACCAGTGGCGAACCGTCATGAAGACGTGGCGGACTGTTGCCAAGTTTTGCAAACACGCTGCTGGTTCAGGGCAAGCCGTCTGTCTGACAGGGAAACGGGAAACAGAACAGACGAAATAAAATCCGAACAGCCAGCAGATAGCAGGCAGTGGATTGTTTCGGAGCCATGACGGAAGAACCCCGAGCCATGTTTCAGTCGGCTGAGTGTCCATTATCACAACGCACGAGACAGGCCCAGAAAGTTCTGCGTTTCACTGTGCAAAGACAAAAGGAAACTCGGCCAACTTCCTCGCAGCTTAACTTACCTCAGAACACGGCCCACCCGAGCCACCGAAGTGCTGGAACGCGGAGGAGTTAATTCACTTCGCAGAGACGAAAATCTCGTTCTCGTGTTTTTATCGTCCTCGTGGCGAATTTCAAAATAACTTCACCAAGTTATTTTCGAAACATTCAGAATTGAAAGTACCTGATCCTATTCTGGGCTGTAAAGCCGCGTGGGTTTGTGACAAGACGCCACCGTCTAGGATAAAGAACATGCTGTTTCCATCTGCAGGGCTGAACATGGAGACGATGTTTTCCACAGTCACGTCCCGAGTCTTTAAGAAACGTTTTCGGAAACAATTCTCTCGCATTTTGGCTGCTGCTGATTTGTCGGCTCAAATAACGGGGAGAAATCTCTGTGCGCGGAAAAACGAAAACTTGCTGGAAATTTGCAGATCAGAGGGTTCAGAAGAGGCGCCGACAGCTTCGGACGACCAGCGCCTGACGTCTCGTTGTATTAAAAATTATTAAAATTAATTTTCATCCCTAAATCCTTAAAATGGGGGAATAAAAGTGGAGCGAGGGACGGTAGGAGCCCCTTGCAGAATTGGCGAGCGAATTGCGCAGGGGCAGAGCCCCTAAATCATTTATAAATGTCTTCATCCCCGATTACAGAAGTAATTGACATTCGCTGCATAAAGCGAAAATGTATCGCGAGCTTTAATGAAAGTCCTGTCGTTTTAATTCGTTTTTTCATTACGCGAAAAACTTTATCGAGTTACCGCGGGTTTAGACGTACGAGGCCGGCAAACCACTGAGACTTGCTTCGTACGCGGGCCACGTCTGCATTTTAGTTGCACGGCTCATTGATAATTTAGTCATTCATGTCCACGTGCGTTGCAAGCAGAAGACGTTACTTTTGCTAAATAAAACATATTTTTGAAAAAGTTAAATATCAGAGCAGTCGAAAGAACGAGTAGAATTAGTATTTGTTTGTTGTTGCTACTAAAACAAAAGGCAGTTCGTGTCATTGCTGCCAGTAATTACAAATCTCTTCGCTGACAACTGACAACTGTTACGCGATCAGTGGTACCAACTTCGTCATATCCACCAGAGACGTCTCGGTTCGGAACGGAAGTCGAGTGGCAAAACTGCTTTCTGCAACGTTTCATTAAGCGCCATGTGGCAACGGCGGATTTTAGTTAATTAGGTTCAACTTGAAATCCTGGCTGTCTGACAGAAGTCAAGTCATGCCTTCATAACTGAGCTGAGTTCACAACCGGAAGGTTACGAACTGTGTCAGAACTGTGTTCCTTTTAAACACACCAGCGTAAAGTAATTTGCCGTTCGCAGAAAACAGATGTTTAAGTCTATTATTAAAATACAATAGAAGGGCCATTTATTTACGGGCGGAGCGAGTATCAGCGTATCAAAAAGGGCTCCGTGGACATCTCATCCCAGACGAGGCGCTCCTGAACGGGATAATCACAAACAAACTGAGATACTGAAAATAATTACATTTCCGTACTGCAGCCTACAAGCAAACTGGTACGAAATATCGTCCGATGCAACCCGCTGACCACATGCAGAAAAATAAGGCGACTTTTCAGGAAGAGCCCGTGCGGCACACGTCTCAATTAACAGACCGACGATGGCTAACAGCAGAGCGAAAGCGCGCAACTTACATGGAAGATCTTCTCTACGTGCTCCTTAGCCGAGTTTTCCTCTACGACGGGCTCAGTGGAGCGGCCCAGCATCTCGTAGATTGACGTCACAACGTCCAGCATCTCGCTCTTGGTGATGAGGCCGTCTCCATTGAGATCGTAGAGACCGAATATCCACTGCAGCTTCTCCTGGACGCTGCCCCGAGACACTCTGGACAGGATGCCAAGGAAATCCTGAAACACAGTCTCTCTCACTACGTGAGGCACTGGACGTCCAGGCATTACAGTCTTCCTGGAAACTGCGTCCGAGAAATTTCGTAACAGATTTTCCGGGATGACAGCTACAAGCAGAAGCATCCGGGAACATAGAAACAAGTCAGAGACCTGTGTTTACAGCAGAACAACTAGACGAAGCAGGGGCCGGGGTTGACCTCACAACATAGAAATCACTGAGACGCCTTGCACAAGAAACCGGATCTCGGAATCGTCGGAAGGCATGAGAAGGCGACAGCTGTTCAGCTAATTCAGAAACAGTCCTCCCACTTTGGTCCGAAAAGTTAAAAACGTGTTCATAACAGTCTACTCAGTCCGCACCCTCACACCCTAATTATTTAACGATCTCGACTGGTCGCTTTTCCGACCACCACAATCGATCCGTTCTACGTGCACCACCACTCGCCGCATTGTCTGTAATTTGGTCGCCCTAAAATATTTCATGACGCACTGTACAACTCCCCAGTCATTTCACGGAAGCAGCAAAGAAGGGAAAGCTTCTATTCGTGCGCTGTGCCTCGTAGGATTTCGTTTCACAAGGCGTTAGAAAAACTTTCTGTGAAACACCACCACAAAGGAAAGACGGTTCTAGAGGCAGAACGGCCTGGATGCTGAAACACACACTCACCTCGAAACTTATCTTGCCCGTCTGGTTGTGTTTGATCGTGTTGAAGACGTAGTGCGCGTACTGGCTCGCATCTGGAAGCAGAAGAACACAGGCTCTTACCGACCGGAGGAAATGAGGAATACTACGGAAACGCTCAAGAGGACAGCCTCTCTACGGCTCAGATCTGAATCTGGGGCCTCGCAAATACGAAAACCAGACGCTCGGTTTCAGGTTTTCACTTGTTCCATTGACGGAATGCACCTGAGGATAACAAAGACGGGAAGAAGGCGATTGAGCAAGGGCCCGACGAAATAACTTCGTCGTGAGGGAACCAGGACATCCGTAGACCACTAGGTCAAATAGACGCCCAAGAGCTGCGTACAAAAGTACGCGGCGTCACACGTGAGCTCCGTAAGAATGAACAAGCACGCGACATCTTCTGCTTTGTTACAGGCACTGTCAATGTCAAGGAAGGAACCGAACCAAGGACATCTGCATGAAGCGCGAACGGTTCGAACGACAGCTAGACAGACTAGACGGAAACTGACACGAGTTTAAGCGAGACTTAGCAGTCGCTTCGTATATTCAATAGGCACACGATATCCGGATCAACCTCTAGGTAACAGGCTGTTTCGCAAACAAGTACTCACCGCCTTGGGGGAAGAACTGGGAGAAGATGTTCTTGAAGCATTCCTTTTTTCAACAGACAAGATGGCGTCAGTGCGCGTGGAGCTCAGTCTACAAAAATGGAAAGGGTGGGAACAGAAGACAAAAGGGGCCGGGGCACAGGCCCACAAAGGGCCCCAGAAAAATCTTCCGGTTCCATGAAAGCCGGAGATTCCTTTGAACATCTGAGCGACTGCCAGAACTCAAAGACAAAATTATGCTCCACGAAATTACTCGTTACAACTCAGACAAACACTCCGATTACGTAATCCCAGAAACTTTGTTCCTTTTTGTCGGAACGTAATAAGTAAATACACACGCCGGAGCAGTGTTGCCAACTAGGTACTACTTCTTGCTGGAGGACGATGTACGTCTTCCTGAGGCAAAAATTGATGATTTCAAGGGTAATCTTGGCGGGAACTTTGCTGTTCTAGCCCTTTTCAATCCGGAAAGACAGAGAACGCGTGCTTCTCAATTTAAAGACGTCAGGGCACAACGTGCAATGGAACAGGGGGGAAGTGGCTCACCTGCTTGAACCCGCGGTAGATGAGCTGAATCTCCTTGCGGGTGAACTTGGTCGTCCTGGCGAGCTTCGTGAGCTCCTCGGGGCGGTGCCGGGTCGCGTGGACACTGAACTCGTCCAGCTCCTCCTCTGGAACAGAAACACGCGATTATCGCATCCGAGCTACTTACTGCGACGAAGATCAAACACCGCGCGTCAGATGAAAAGACACAGGCCCCAAAAGTGTACTCCGTGCCGGAATACACAAGAGTATTCTCGTGTTCCTTGCAACGCAACAAAAATGACTCAATGACCCACAGTATTCGATAAAGACTTCCCTCAAAGGAAGGAAGCCTCAGAGAGAACCATTCGTTATTTTCGACTGCTCACTACGCGTTCAACAACGGCGGTATACTTGAAAGGAGCAATTTTATCTCAGACTTGAACGCGTCTGTAGCAGGAAAAGTCGGACGGGAATTTTTCCTCTTTAATTCGATTGGGGCGGCCTCTCTCTAGCTGGAATCAACTGCTTTGTCCTCGACATCGATTTCAGTAAACGAACTTCCTAAAACACACAGCACATGGCATTCTCTAAAGATCGAACCACGGAAGTTGGCGGAACATCAACCAGAATAAACACTAAAGGAAATGGTAAGCCCTTTTTTTAAATTCGGAATCAATAAATCTGAGCAGACACAAATGAACATGACAAGATTCAGTGTACGAACGCAGACGATAAGTACAACAGCACTTGCTGACATTCTACCCGCACAGAACCTCAACAAACCTCTTACCAAATCTCGCAACTCAGTCACAATTGAGTATTTCACAGACGTATGAACAGTTTGGTTAAAATGCCAGGAAAGTGAAGTCTATTACCGAGGTAATAATAGGCCAGAACACGTCTCGAGCGGATATCGAACGTGTTCGGTATCAACTCTTGCTGGAACCCTTCCGTCCTTGAAGAGTCTCGATTAAGTCACGTTAAAGAGTTTCGATTGGCCTCAAATGTACCGTGTATTGGTTCATGCTCTACCGCTGTGCTAACCCAAACACGCAAACTGATTGAGAGGACGCAGCACATTTGAATCAAAGGAGACCTTTGTCGCCGGACGATACTCAGTTCACCACAAAAACTGTACGTGCGAAAATTCGCTCGTAGTCAGACACGCCACTGGACTGGTAACGGATGGGGTTGACAAACGCAAATATAAGATTCTCATTACACAAATTCTAACCACGAATCTGGACGCCAGACATTTTAATTCGAGTCGTTTACGGAATGCCAAGATCTTCAAACAAGATACGTCAATTGTAACAAACAAACAAACAAACATCGCTACATTGCTCATCCTGGACGTTACTTTATGCGTCTCCATTCGGAAAGCATTGCAAATCTTCCCAGAACAACAGAAGTGACGAACTAATCATCGTTCTCCCTGGTCATCATTTAGCGTCGCAGTTTCATCAATTAATCATTAGAATTACGTCGGTGCAGGAGGACGTCCCAGGCCGCTGCTCCAGATGGCTCCGTCGTCGTTATGATTCAATTATGACGACGCCAAAGACGGGAGTGAAGGAGATTCTCACGTCGTAAAGACAACGATGCGCTTCGAATTTGTTATTAGCCGAAGCGAAATTGTCTCTTAAAAGGTTAAATACGTTTAGAGGTGGCCCGACCCACTGTCAGTCGCAGAATTTTTAGCGTCTAACATAACATTTAAGTATTAATAACAACTGCGTTTTATCACGCACTGTGTCAACTTAGGTCAAAACACAGCAAATCGCTGAACGACAAGTGCTTCTTGAGAAGTTTTCTGCAACCTGTGGGTCCAGTCGCCAAGCAAACGCCGAACTAAACAAGCAACCGCTGATCTACTGCGACTTTCTGACATCACTCGATTCATCACCACCGCCGTTGCTGTCCACTCCATTGTCTGCAATTAAAATACGTTCAATATCGTCTTCGATTACGCCTTCTTGCTGCATGCATTCTCCCATTCCTCTTGTCCAATTTCTTCGAATCTCTGGCGACGCAGACGCTCGACGTCCTTAATTTTAAATGCTGTGTTCTTGCTTGCAACCCATTGTTTTGCATCTGCCCAAATAAGTTCAGTGGGGTTTAAATCGGGAAGTCTCAGCACTGTACGTTCTTTGTCTGCCAAAATCTGATCAATCACATAATATTTGTGTTTTGAATTGTTTAATTTGATTAAATCGAACAGTCGAGCTTTCAACACGTCACAAAATGGGATGTTTATTTCCAATAGCCAGGCTTTCATTTCGTCCTTCTTTGTGTAAGACGTCGGTGGTTTGTATGTCCGAGTGTTTTGATAAGAGGCAATGCCAATGACCAGAAAGGAGATTGCAACGAACAGGTGTCATGTTGTTGACACAGCGCAGTCACAAGACAACAATTATCAGGCTTCCAGACTGACGCACTGACAGAAGGAAACTCCTTCCTTCCTTCATTGAGTGGTCCGCATACTGGGCACTCCCTACGAGGTCAGCGGCCATGATCGGTGGATCCAGTTCTAACAACTGCAGTTATATACGAACAGCTCGGGTGAACCGCCATCTTGTTCCGAGGCTCCGGAAACCAAACGACGTTGTATGACTTTCTCTTGGGCGAAAAGTTAAAATCTCTTAAAGTGACTAGCCACTGTGTCCGTTCGGCCACTCCGTTCGTAGTTGCGGTAAAAGGAAAACAAGATTTTAATTCACTGAGGCAAATGTTTGCCGGCTTCTCGTTTCAGGAAGAGCGAATTTGTGGCGGATGCGTGTGTGTGGATGCATCAGCGATAAAAGACAGAAGGCAGATTAATGGAGTGGCAAAGTTAATGCTCTCACACTGAAGACGTCGCAGACGACCAACATTTCTGAGGAACATGCTGTCTCCATGTTCACACGACGGGAGAAACGCGATAAAGTTATATATCTCCTTACTTCTACGCCCGGAAGTAAAGCGTAAGTTCTGTAGGTCAGGTAGACAAGGATGAACTACAAAACGTCTGAGTTACGACAAAGGGCGAGTCTACAAATGTCTATAACTGCAGCCGTAAAACCTGACCCACGGGAATTTTTACAACGGCAGCAAAAGTTTATTTATAAAAATATGTAGTTCAGCTTCATAATCGCGAAAGAAAAGCGAGCAGTAAAACAAGTTTATGACTGCACATACTTGGTGTTGACTTGTGTTCGGTTCGAATTATGGCCCGTGGCTGGAGAGAAACCAGACGGACAGATCGAAAAACAAACTCAGTGCCCCCGAGTACAAAGAAGGAATGCTAACCACTGTAACCGTAACGATCGGTCATCGCATACGAGCCAACAAGCCTTCCTTGCACCGACTTTACTCGGCGCTGTATTTAGTGCAAACTACTAAATTAATCCACTTAAGACGTTAGCATCAAGTCAGATGCTCTCTGAGCGTTTGATTCAAATTTGTGACAAAAAAATGTATTCGAATCAAATTAATTTCTTCTGTTACAATGAACACGGCGAGCAGCTGCTGCCGTACCAGAGAACAGCTGAGTATCGATTCCCGCAGGAAGACACGTGCCCGCCTGGTTGTGTCCAACTGAACACAATTTCCGACTGCCATCTGTCATGTCGCGGGCTCATAACATGCTACTTGTTTTAGAACTGGAATCGTTGAGTAGCCTGCACCCCGCACCCCTCGGTCCCAGAAGTTTCGTTAAAATTTTATGCGTTATTAACAGTTCTGAGATGGCCGACTGAAGTGCTGCCATCTGCTCGGCCAGTTCGTGTTCTCTGCAATAAAACACAACAAAACTTCAAGTTGCTTACTGCGCGAGTTATTGACGCAAAACAATTGCGTCATCCACAAGCAGACGCAATCGGTGTGACTGACAGCTTGGTTTTGGTGTCTGAACTAACGCAACGGAAGAGACCGACGCCACACCACGATTAATAACAATTACGTTATCATTACCAGCAACGTCTCAGAGACTTGTGTTTCTCCTTACGGATTCGATTCTGCTGTCCACTGCGCCGATTACATTTGACAGGTCTTCACGCCTTGTTTAAATGTAGGTCGTGTGAGTAGGTTATGGACTGGATTCAGCTGGCTCAGGACAGTGGCCACTGGCGAGTTCTTCTGAATATGGCAATGAACCTCTGGATTACCTCAGAGATGTCGGTCCGCGTATGCATCCATTTGAGTTGCCGAAACCCATTCTCTGCCTCCGACACCCCACGAATATTTGAATCTCGACGCTTCAAACACGGACTGCGATTTACAGACGGTCTTTAATTTTTCGGAAGAACGTCTGTCTACTGTGTTTGAAATGACGACGCTGTCAGAAATCGAACCCAGTAAGTCAAGCAGGAAGTCCCATTCCAAAGAATGGTTACGAACTTAAATATGCAGCGAAGCATGGTAGAAAAACGCCAACCTCCACGAGGTCGCATTGAACGCGCTTAACCATACCGATTTGCCTTGGCCTACTCGTAAAGCGTCCGCTGCAAAGAACGCCGGACGGGCTGCAAATTTCTAAGGGACGCCAAACACCAGGCACTGCACAGATTAGCGAAGTTACGGATACCAAAACAATTGCATTCAGGTTCCGGTTACTGAAGTCTGGGCCTTTTCACGCGGACGGATACGAGACAGCGCGATTAGGCGACAGTTCGGACCGCGCTCCATCCCTGCTCTCCGGTCTGCGTCAGTGGGAACGAGAGAACTGAACCAGTGCCATTTCTGCGGACTGGCATCGGGACGAGACCTCTTTTCTGCCAGCAGATGGATTGACCCTCACCACGTGTGTTCGCACTTTACCTGCACGGCGCGTGAAACTGCGGAAGGCTTGCAAAATGGCTGACCCCGCACAAAAAGAATTTTAAGAAAATTATTGGGACAGGATTCGGTACTTCGACATAAAGCAGAGCCCGAAGTGACACCGGTCGTAACTGGAACAGCTTCATCTGCAATTCAAATATTTACGACGCGTCGATCAACTGACGTATGTGCGTAAGGGCATCAGCTCTCTGGGGCGCATCAGTTGCGACACTTGACAGCGGATCCCAGGCGCGACGTGAGCAAAATCTATCGACCACTTTATAAGGCAAGTTCGATTACGACCTGAGAAAGTTGCGTGCTTTAAAATCGAAACTTATTTGTAAAAAAT